CCCAGCTCTGCAGGTGAAAGAGTTTTAATGGACATTAAGGGCAGCTTCTAAGAGACATTGCCTTATTGATGGAAACATTATGCTGGGTACAGGCTTTTGTCTTCATGCCTTTGTGAGTATGTCTCATGGGTGTATACACCTCCGGTCTTCTTCAACACCAGCTAGTCATTCATTCAGGAGAACTGATTCAAGACCTCCTGCGTGGTAGAAGGAAGACTTGTGAGGTGTTCAGGAGTAGCAGGGTGCCATAGTTCCTCTCTGCTATTCCCAGTCTTAGAGAGCGTGCATACTACTGGGTGTCTTCACCTTGTGAAAGCCTTCCTACATTCAATAAGTTCCCCCTCTTCAAAAAATTTCCATTTTAATGTGTAACATTGTGCACTGATTTTAAGTGCACAATTAATGAATTTTAATATATGCATATACCCCTGCAACCACACCCAGATCAAAATATAGAACATTTCCTACTCCCCACCAACACTCTCTTTTGCCTCTTTCCTACCTAATGCCACCTAGAATTAACTACTGTTCTAACTTCTATCACCATGAATTATCTCCTTCTGTTTTGAAAGTTCACTTAAATAAAATTGTATATTATTATTCTTTTGCACTTATCTTCTGTCACTCAAATAAGCTTCTGTGATGTTCATTCATGTTGCATGTGTCCACAATTTAAAATTTTAAACTATGTAGTCTTGCATTATATGAGTGTACCACAATTTATTCTTTATCCACTGATGGGCATTTGGGTTGTTTCCAGTTTTTTAAAAAATATTAATGAATAAACTGTTATGAACATGTACTTATATTTTGGTCAACATCTGCACTTATTTCTCTTGTCCTTCTAAGAGTGAAATTGCTGGATGTGCAAGTTCTAGCTGTTTCACAGCCTTGTGGACACTTAGAATTGTTAGTTTTTAAAAAATTTTCACTATTCCAGTTGATATGTTGTTTCATTAAGGTTTTAACTTATATTTCCCTAATGAGCTGAGTACCTTTTCAAGTGCTCATTGGTTATTTGATATCTTCTTTTGTAAAGAACATTTTCAAGTAGTTTGCCTATTTTTTATAGGATATCTTTCCTTAAAGCAAGCTAGAGAAAGGGGGTTATGTCCTTTACAAACAACCAGCTAAGATGGGGAGATAGATAGGTAATCAGTCAGAAAAGTAGAACCTTTCTAAGTCACATGAAATCAGAATTTTTTATAGACAATAGTGAGAATCTTGTGAAAGATTATTGAGTCTGGGTTTGGCAGGCTGGCAGGTAGGGAGGAAAATTAACCATGAAGTAGAGGAGAGCAAGGACAGATAGACACAGAGGGCCAAACTGGAGCCCACACAGACAAACTGTGTCTGTCTTTAGTCCATTCAACTTCAATGATGCAGGCAATGTGTGGAAGAGGCTAGTGCCTTTGGGCAAAGGGCTGTACATACCCCAAGTTGACCTAGGACAAAGGGACAAGGAGACAAGGGGAGAGGTCAGAGGTGTGTGCAGGCTGCACAGTGCCTGGCACCCCACGCTCCCCTGCAGAGGACCAGCCACTGCTGGGTTTCCACCTTCCACAATGTACACACTTTCTCTTGTGACATCCCTAACCTGGAACCCCACAGAAAAGGAATTCTGATAAGTATGGATCCAGTGTGGCTAAGTTGACATCAGAGAGCTTGTCCTCGCTGGTAAGAAAAAAGACCAAAGAAAGCTAATATTTAATGAGTACATTTTGGGCCAGGCACTGTCCTAAATATTTAACCCATTGACAATTTATATCCTAGTAGGCAGCTAGCTAGACTGTGTGTTGGAAAGCAATGTGTGGGGTGAGGTTGGAGCAACCACTTTACACCCAGATGCTGGTCATTGTAAAAAAGAGAGAGAGCCCCAAATTTCAGGACAAGGCTTATCAAGCTCTGAGATGCTCTGCCACAGTGTGGGTTAACTTGAACTTGGTGGGCGGGGCACATGGGAACCAGAAGAGGCAGAAGTTGTGAACTGCTGTGGCCTTAACAGACTGCAGAGACTTTACTATACTTTAATATTTGTAAATTACTTGAAAATAATATATCACCAATCAGGAATTGTTCCATAATTTTTGTTAACTAAAGTATAGGTACCATATGCAAATATGTGTGTATTGAATAATCTTTGTGGTAATCATTTACATTATTTCTTGTTGTATTTTTCCTTCGAGGAGAAAACAGATACTGTGGATTTTGTTTTGTTTTGTCCAAGGAGAGTATTGCAGCAAGGCTGAAAGCAGAAGTTGCCTGATAAAAACACTTTCTTTCTGTCTCTTGTGATTTTAAAACTATATCCATAGGAGGAGTCAGGTGGTTTGTAGATCCTAGGGAGGGTATATATATGTAGATGGGGACATGGCCAACCTCACAACAGATTCTGTGATGCAGAAATTTTGATACAGACTGATGACGGAGACAGTCTGATGGTGAAGAATAATGTGATGAAACATGCCCATGACATCTTCAAGGCATGTGGGACAGATCCCTCTCTCCTGGAGCTGAGTTAGTCCATAGATTCTGGTCTTCTGCATTTATCCACACTGACGCTCTCACTTCCCCAGCATAATCACTCAATGTAAGCTACTTTTTCTCATTTTCTCCTCTCCATTTTTTAATTTAAATTAAAAGAAACAAAGAATAGGAAGAATCATTTTGGATAGCTTAAGTTTCACTTAAATATTATACATGAGATCCAAATAACAGAACTATATTCTTTGATTCACATTCATCTGTGGTCACTTGAGGCCCTCAGGATTTTTTTTTCAGTATTTGTTTTTATTTGCCCTTTCTATTTTTGTGTCCTTGATGACTGACCTTCTCTGAACCAAGTATGGTCAGGATATAGTCAACACTAGGTAAATTGCAAGACATTCATACTGAGAAGGAATTTTTCTTGTCCTACTCCTTGAAATCAATTTCAGCTGATTTCCACCCAATTTAGTGATATTTTTAACTTTATCCCAATATTAAACTTCATTAATTTCCCAAATATCTCTTGAGTCTTCTGTGAGTGTCAGGCACACTTCTGTGTGCTGGGGATACACATTTTCCACTGTTCTGAACAAAACAAAGCCCTGTTTGTCTGGGCTTCAGTCTGCACTCTTAGAGTGAATGTGATAGATTACTAATGATCAGGGTAAAGCTGACATATATTATGTTGAATTTATAGAGAGCAAACATGTGACTAAATACTTCCAACTCTTCCATTGCTATAATGAGTGTGTGTGTGTATGTGTGTATGTTTGGAGGAGTGTGGGAGGCAACAGCTGAAATGAAAAACATATACAGGGAGGACAGAGTGGAAAATGCAGGGAGAGGTTCCTCTCATAGCTACTTTCTAGAAATAGAAATAGAGATGTTTAGTTTCTAGTTATAAATTAGGGAAAACAACAAGAAAAGGAATTGCAGATTAATTAAGATCCATCATAAGTGGTAAAATTGAGGTTAAGATTTAAAAATCCAGCTCTTAATTTAAAAGGGTTGAATTACATGTAAGGAAATTATACACAAGTGAAAGGGAAGAACAAATCATTTTGTGATTTTGGAAAAACTACTTTATTTTTCACTGTCCCTGGGCAGTTTCTGGTTGAGAACAAAAAAGCCATTTCTCTTTTCATGCCAAGAGGGCAAGAACACAGTTTCTCGAGCTCCATAGCATGTGAGCTGCTATTAGTGTGGCATGCATCTGTGTACATTAAGTGTATACTAGGTATATGCTTGTCAGCTTCAAATAACCTGTATTGAGCACTTATCAACTCACTGCTCATTTTAAAAAGTTTACTCTAGTAGTCAGATTCAAAGCTGTTCCACTAGTCTAAGTGCTCTTCTGTTAGCCTAGGATCTAGGCATTCTCCACTGTGCTGGTAGTGTCTGGCATTGAGCAGATGCTGTAAATTGTTGCTGGGCTGAGACAAACTAACTGGATGTCAAAACTGTAGGTAGGTGGCAGTATGGTTCAACTCCCTGCTTTAAATGCAACCAGTTTGGAATTTTACACCCACCTCTCTGTGCTCTTGGGACAAGTTTCTACATCCTTCATCACCTCAATTTTTCTCAACTGCAAAATGGGGAACTTATAGCTGCTATAGTTATTGTGAGGAGTAAATAAAAACAATCCATATACTTAGTACAGGCCTTGACACATTTGCTCTCAATAAGTGATAGTTATATTACATATAAGCTCTTAACCAAGCTCTACATAACAATTACTATGATGGTTGATGAGAGCTGAGGGCTTTTTAAAGGAAGCTGAATAAAGCCAACATTTCACCAACCAAAAAGTTGCTGACAAGTTAACTGTAGATTTCAAAATACTATTTTCTGATATTCTGGAAGGATGAGGTGGTCAACTTTTTTGGGGGGGTGGGCACAGGTTGAAATTGTTACCTCTTTAATTAGCTGTACTTCTATTGGACCCTGCCTGAAACCCTTAGTCTATTTTTGCAGAGGGGAATTGTCTAATTTTGGTGACTGTAATAAAATTGGGTTAAAATGCACATATGCTATGACAATGACAAAACCCCTATCAAACATTGTTAGGTTGGCTGATGTCAGTGCTAGTACTTATGGAGGACAAAAATGTGTGCTGACTGCGCTTAAGTGGAGTTTGAGTCCTAAACGGCCTTCAGAAGAGGAGAGATGTTGGTCCTTCAAGAAGGAAGACTGGTAGCAGGAAGAATTCAAGTGAACCTCTAATCTGAAGTCATTTCCCTTATAAAGGCAGGGGATTCTAAAGGGTTGACTCCGTGGGGTCAGGAGGAGCCCTGCAGGCCTGGCTCACAAAAGATTCACCCGTCCCACCCTAAGCTCTACTGTGCGTCTTCAGGCTGGTGCACTGAACTCGCAGGCCGCCCTCTCCAGACAGTCCCTAGCCCGCAACTGCTAGCCGGCTCTTTCCGGCACCACAGCCTGCAATCTCTCCGCACTTGGAGTTCCTCGTCTGCCCGGTGGTGGGCGCACCCAGAGAGGCTGGAGCCCACTGCCGTGTGCGCAGCGGGTTGGCCTGCAAAGCGCTAGGGTCCCGCGGCCTTGGGCCCACATACCCGCACACTCCCAGCTCGGTGCCTACAGCCTGTAGAGGTCGGTTCGGCCTGTGTGCACGGGTCGGGGTTGGCCCACGCTCTCCAGCAGCGCGGCCCCCGGCAGCCTGGCCACAGGCCGGGTCCCCACCGCCGAGGGGGATGGGGAGGGAGGAGAGACGAGGAGTTGGAGACAGACACAGCCTCCTCCAGCACAGTCAAGGCAGGAGACAGACGGCGGTGGCAGCAGCAGCAGCAGCAGCAGCAGCAGCAGCAGCAGCAGCGGCGGCGGCGGCGGCGGCGGCGGGGGGCGGAAGACCCCCCCCCTCTGGCAACTGGAGGCTGGTCAGATCCCTCTGCAGCTGTAGCACTGTCTCTCTTCTACCCTCTGCCGGGCTGGGCCCTGCGCGACAGAGAGGTGAGAGCGTCTGGCCCTGCCGGTCCGGCACACCGCCACCGAGGCCAGCCGGGGGTCCCCTGCGAGCCGAGGAGGCGCCGGGCTGCTGCCAGACAGGCTGCGAGTCACCAGGAAAGTGAAAGGGGGGCGAGGAACCCAGGGGAGGCCCGGGTGTAAGCTCTTGGCTCTTAAAGAGACCCAGGGCGCCGTGCCCCCCCCCGCCCCCCCCCCTTGTGGCAGCCCTGCACCCAGTGCCCCTCCCAAGCGTTTGGCAGGGCCTGTGGCCCAGGAGGCGCACTGCGGGCCGTCTCTAGCCTCTGCTCTGCAAGGGTGGCAGCAGGTGAGTGGGGACCCGAGGCGGCTGATGTAGTAGTAGTGTCTGGCTCAAGTTCAGCGCTGCACTGAGGAGCAGGGAGGGGGCGGGGCACAGGGTGGTGGCAGACGCCGGGACAAGCGCTTCGAGGGGACGCTTCGGGTATTGGAAGTTCGCAAGCCTGCGCCTGGTTGGCGACTGCCTCAGACAAGAGTGCTGGAGGTCTGTGAGACAGTGTCTCCAGTGGGCACCGCGAGTGGGAGTGCCTGTGATGGGAGGGCTACCCCGCCGCCTTTGCGGGTGTGCTTTGATGGAGGTACACTGCCTGCCCCCATCCCTTTTTCTATTTCCTCGTGCCTCAACTTGGGTCGTCCTGCTACTGAGGGACTTAATTCTGCATCTCCGAGAGGCTGGGATGAGCGTGGGGGTGGCCTCTCAAACCAAGGTCTTGATTCCCTTGGGCCTCTCGGTCGGGGACAGGAGGTAAGAGGAAATTGGGCAGATTGTACTGGACCTTGCAGGGGAGTTTGCGGAAAGGAAACGGGCGGAAGCGGGCAGTACAGAGGACCCTGCGTCTTGCAGCTTGGCTTCCCGCAGCTGCCCCCTGACAACCCTAGGATCTGCTTCACCCGGCTGCCCCGATTCCCCGCGTGCGTTGACGTCGTCGGTCGCGGGCCGCCCGGAGCTCCCAGCATTGGCTGGGAAGTCGATTGTCTCCCCGTGGCTACTGTTATACTTAGGCTCTCCGAGCTCTAGAGGAAGCAAACGTGTGTTGAATTTCTCTTTGACCCTCATGGTGGAAAAAACAGGAAGCGATGATCACCTAGCCCGGGTCCCACACTTGCCTTTGTTGTGGGTACAGCCAGCACAGCGGTGAGGCTTCCACGGGACCCCTGCTCGCTGGGCCGCCCAGGGTGGGGTTGAAAGGGCACCCTATAAGTACACTGCTGGAAGACAGTGGGCTCCGTTCAGGTGAATTTGCTATTGGGGGCATTTACTTGTTTTTAAACTTTTTTTTTTAATTGGAAAAAGAAGCAGCTTCCTAACCAGGCAGAGATTTTGGGGAGGACGACAGGGACGTGTGGTGCGTGGGTGGCACCTGGAGATTGCGCATGGGATAGTGCCCTGTTTCCTGGGTTTGCTATAGGGCATCGTGCTGCTGTCTGGACTGTGAAAAACTCTTTCAAGCACGTAGGGCTTCCTCGCTCCTCCTACCCAGGCATAGGAATGATTGCTGAGTGGCAATGGTCACATAAGTAGCTTACTTTTAATTTTTCTTAGTCTTGTAATGAGCTAGAATTGGATAATTTTGATTTGCTTCTTTTTTCTTCCTCTGTGTCCCATCTATTCCCTTCTCCTTATTTCTTATCATTTTGGCAACTTGTCCCTGGACCCCTTCACTTATAGTTTAGTGCTGCTTTCAATGTTATTTATGATTCTGATATTTATTGATGACATACTGTGTGCTGGACATTGTGGTATGTGAGGTGAGATTAACTGTATAGTGGTTTGAGTCAGAACTGCTGTTAATAAGTTCTTGGCAGCGAAGGTGGGTAGAGATGGTGAACAGCCTTGGTTCTTAAAAATATATGGGCTTTGGCTGGCGTGGAGGTTGGTGCCTTCCCTAGGGACTAGGGTTGGGAAATGTCCCTTTAAAATGGTCCTTTCCTCTTGTTTAGCTAGCCAAGAAAGGTATTGTCCTATTTGTATCTCCCCTGGAGCGTCAGGTCTGACGATCGAATTATGGGAAAGATTTGGTAGAGTCTGCACTGAGAAGCTGCCATTGCATCAAGTCATGTTCTGCATTTTGCACATAAGTATTTAGTCTTTTCTACTATTTGTATTGAATTTATTGTCATCAGTACATCTGCCTTTGTACTCTGCAGAATTCTCTCAAAACATATTTTTTATGTTCAGTAAAGGATCATAATGTCAAATGTGATATATTACATTGACAGATGAGATCAGAATATTTATCCATGTACATTTATTGAATTTTAATATTTTGTTTCCTATCAACCCGTGAATGCCATTTGATGGTCCTTACAAAGCAGGGGGTATATTCTTCATGATTTTTGAATGCTTAATTCTTTTGAGAGCTTCATGTTACTATTGACATTTGAATACACTGTTAGGAATTAGGTGCCAGACTGTAAATGTCAGTAAGGGATTATTTGTTATAATGGAGTTGTAACTACATCTATCCCTTGTTTTAAAATGTGCTGCTAATTTTCTAACATTCTGCTGTTGCCCTTGGAAGAATTTCTCCTCATTGGCCACAGTTCTAGTTTGTGTGTAGGTTTATATTTATGATGGAGAAGACTATTCCCAGTAGGATTTTCAGGCTGTCTCTGAATTCTCTTAGGGGCTTGGCTTGCATGACCACAATCCTGCAGAGGAACCCAGACAATGCCAACTGCTTTTTAAGGGATTTTGTACCAATTTGTTGGATTCAGAGTCCACTCCCCCTAATATATATACATACACAAATATTTCTCTCCCCTGCCCCAACTGCTGACAGTGTTCTAAGAATAGTATTTTTGCCTGATGCACGGAGAGCAAGGACCCATCTGCAGAGGCGTTTACAATTTGGGACTGTGCTATGGTTTTGGTTAATTTAGCAGCCTGTCAGGGCAGCCTTGTGGCTAATAGGATGCTGTCTATTTTTTATCTGGGTCTCTGGAGGGGCAATTCCCAGCCGGACAGAGGAATATAGAGAATGAGAGTGATTTTTGTTCCCTGAAGGTAGTTTTTGGCCTGCTGTCAAGTAGAGACCATTAAGCTCTGTCTGGATCCTTTTGTACTCGCCCAGCATGTAGTCAGTCCAGCATTTAGTCACCCTATGGACTGGGCTGGGGTGGTTGCTCTGTGTCACCATGTAAAACCCAAGCACTCTCAGGACTCAGGGCAGGGACACTTGCAACTGTGACTGGTTAGACCTTTCTGGTAGCCCTTGCCATGTTCCTTTTCATTTTTCTTCTGAATCTAGGTTTATGGAATCTCTACAATGTGTCTGTCCTTTCTGGATGACAGTTAATAGAAAAGAAAGAAAAGTCAAGGAGCAATAGATCATTCGATGTTAACCTGGAAAATTTTTAGAAATATTTAATATACTTTATATAGATACTATTAGGCCATTAAATATGAACAGTGGCAAAATAGCTATGTAGTCCCACATTGCCCTTTTCTCCCTTCTTCATTTTCCTCCCTTCCTCCTTCCATTCCTTCCTTCCTTTTTTTAAGGTCTCAGAAAACTCACCTGGAAGCCAAAATGACTTTCAAAGTGACTTTCTGCCTACATGGCATTCGTTAGTCTAGAATTATACCTTGACCTATATTATAAGTGCATGGAAGGTGAACCTTAAGTTTGAAAATAGGAATGTAAAGCTTTTCTGTCTACTGTTTGAAAATTTAGGCCACATGACCTCAGTGCCAGTTTTTAGGGAGATTTTTTTTGTGTGTCATTATTTGCCTCATTGTTAATAGCTAAAGGAAACAGGCAAACACTTGTACTATTATATTAATTGATATAGAAATATTGGGTTTATATTTCCAGTTAATAATTGTTTTTTTCTCTACCATAGGAGGACTTGAAAAATAATGTCTGTGTTGTCATATCCATGTGATTTAAGTATGGATTGCTTTTCTTTGAATTCCCACTAAAAATTGTACTTTGGCCTTTTCAGCTGGTTTTGTGACGACTTTTCTTTCCACCAGCCTTGTTTTCCAGATAGGTCTTGGAAATTACAATGAACATAGCTATAATTTCTCCCTTGATTGGCAGCTAAGAGCTTTCCTGGAGAAAAATAAGGAAACACAGTGCCAAATGGTTGACTTTTCTAGAATAAAAACTCTAAAGGGTATGCAAAAAGTCCTCTGGTTAATATATTGGCATTCCCAGAACCCACTAAAACTCCAGCAGCCTGCCAGACACCACTTAATGAGGATGCAGAATGTCTGGCTCAAATCCCCATGAGCAGAAGGGGGTGGGGAGGTGATGTCCACACCCTTTATTAATTTTTAATGACTGTACTTTTGTTTTTCAGATTTTGCTTTGTACCCCCTGTACGACTAACCCCCATTATACCCCCTCCCCCATCCATTTATTTACTCATTTACTTGGCATTGGAAAAATGTTGAGACTTTCAAGGTTAAGAATCCTGCTGAGAGATCATTTCTGTTTTTCTGGGTTCTTTTGTTGTTGGTTTCCTTTCTTTTCCTTCCCTTTTTTTATGAGGAAGAAAGAAAAAGGAATAGAAAAGGAGATACTTTTTAAAAATGATGCTTTCTTGTCTGCTGGAAAAGAGAAGCATTTATGAAACTTTGAGTTTGTCAGACAGTTTATATGACAGTGCAAGTTGGTTCCTGCCAAGCTCCAGACAGATTGCTAATGTTACATGACAGGGATAAATAAATTACCGCTGTCTGCAACACACTTGCACTGAAACCCACTCTGCAGCCTGCGGCCCGTGGAGCGCACACAGGGAACCTGTTGGCTGTGCAGCTGCAGGGAAGACCTCTGCCTACTGCCTACAGTTCTGTGACACAAAAAGGGTGTGTCTCTCACTTTTATTTTGGCAGTGCTTCAGGGCAGCAGAATCCGAGTAGCAGCTCTGTGTCCTTAGTTTTGCAGGTGTAAGGTCTAACCCTAACCCTAACCCTAACCCACCCCCTTCTCAGACCCCGCCTTCTTCCTCTTGAGGGGACC